GGAGTAGAAATATTCATTGCTGGGAAATGGAAAATATGCAAAAAATCTCCATTTTACACTGTAAAATTGCGTTTTTTTGAATATTTGGTGGCTCCAGAAAATGCATATCCCACAGTTTGCCCCAAAATAGATATCCATTTCTGGGAAAAAGAAAATATGCCAAAAATCTGCATTTTACAGTGTAAAATGGTTTTTTTTGCTTTTTTTGGTGGCTCCAGAAAATGAATATCCCACAAGTTTGCCCCAGGGGTAGGGATATCCATTCCTGGGTAATGGAAAATATGCAAAAAATCTCCATTTTACACTGTAAAATGGAGATTTTTTGCTTTTTTGGTGGCTCCAGAAAATGCATATCCCACAAGTTTGCCCCAGGAGTAGAAATATTCATTGCTGGGAAATGGAAAATATGAAAAAAATCTCAATTTTACACTGTAAAATTGCGTTTTTTTGAATATTTGGTGGCTCCAGAAAATGCATATCCCACAGTTTGCCCCAAAATAGATATCCATTTCGGGGAAAAAGAAAATATGCCAAAAATCTCCATTTTACAGTGTAAAATGTTTTTTTTTGCTTTTTTGGTGGCTCCAGAAAATGCATATCCCACAAGTTTGCCCCAGGAGTAGAGATATTCATTGCTGGGAAATGGAAAATATGCAAAACATCTCCATTTTACACTGTAAAATGGTGATTTTTTGCTTTTTTGGTGGCTCCAGAAAATGCATATCCCACAAGTTTGCCCCAGGAGTAAAAATATTCATTGCTGGGAAATGGAAAATATGCAAAAAATCTCCATTTTACAGTGTAAAATGGAGATTTTTTGCTTTTTTGGTGGCTCCAGAAAATGCATATCCCACAAGTTTGCCCCAGGGGTAGGGATATCCATTTCTGGGTAATGGAAAATATGCAAAAAATCTCCATTTTACACTGTAAAATGGAGATTTTTTGCTTTTTTGGTGGCTCCAGAAAATGCATATCCCACAAGTTTGCCCCAGGAGTAGAAATATTCATTGCTGGGAAATGGAAAATATGCAAAAAATCTCCATTTTACACTGTAAATGGAAAATATGCAAAAAATCTCCATTTTACACTGTAAACTGTAAAATGGAGATTTTTTGCATGTTCTAAGCCCAAGAAAATGGAGATCCCAAAATGGAGGTTTTTTCGATGCCATTCCAGGCCCACCTACAAAATGGACTTCATGCTGCATACCCAATCCAGTGCTGCATGCTTGTTACATATCCAAGGTTCCTGTTGGATCCAGAACTTTGCTTGTACAGCATATATCCTATTGGTCCTATTGATATGTTCATGCCAGTAACCCAGCAGACCCAATTCTTGCATCCAAAAGAAATTCTTGATAATGTCCAATACAAATATGATGCTACCAAACATGTGCTGCATGCAGTGCTTACCAATAGCAACCCCTGGAAACAATCTCCATTTTTGATTTCCATTTTTGCCACTATGATATGCATTTTACCCCTATGTTGCTGGAAGTTGGCTGTGGCCAAGGGAAGGTCATAACTTTAGCATCACATTTCCTTGCTGAGGTTGGCACGAACGTCTTTTGTTTGCCACCGGAACTGTCCGAGCAAACATGACCGCAAGCATTTCCAGATCTTCTTTCGCGCAGACACGTTCGTGTGCATGTTTGCTTGACATGGTTATGGTTTGGCATGCTTATTTTCCACTCACCCCTGTCATGTTCAGGCCTCGCTTACATGTATTGATTTCTTGCCCCGTTGATTGTTTGGCATGTTGGTTTCTGGTCATCCCTGTCATGTTCAGGTCTTGCCGGCGAGTTTTAAGAAATCCTGACTTGTTTGCTTGGCATGTTTAGTAGGCATGCTCAATTTTGCCCCCAAAGAGATATGAATGGATTCATGAGGTTACAGTGGGATTCACTGATTTTGGGTTTTGGAGTTTGTGAGCAGTCCTGACTTGTTTGCTTGGCATGTTTAGTAGGCATGCTTAATCTTACCCCGAAAGAGATGTGAATAGATTAATGAAGTTACATTGGGATTCAGTGATTTTTCCCGAGAGCGTCTGAGCGCAGGGTTCTTCCAATAGTGGGGGTCTGTATCTCATCTTCTCATCTTCACACCTTCTCATCTTCACACCTTCTCATCTTCACATCTTCTCATCTTCACATCTTTTCATCTTCACATCTTCTCATCTTCACATCTTCTCATCTTCTCATCTTCGCACCTTTTCATCTTCACATCTTCTCATCTTCACATCTTCTCATCTTCACATCTTCTCATCTTCTCATCTTCGCACCTTTTCATCTTCGCATCTTCTCATCTTCACATCTTCTCATTTTCACAGCTTCTCATCTTCACATCTTCTCATCTTCACATCTTCTTCATCTTCACATCATCTTCACATCATCTTCACATCATCTTCACACCTTCTCATCTTCACATCTTCTCATCTTGACATCTTCTCATCTTCACATCTTCTCATCTCCACCTCTTCTCATCTCCACATTTTCTCATCTTCACATCTTCTAATCTTCACATCTGCTCATCTTCACATCTTCTCACATCTTCTCACATCTTCTCACATCTTCTCACATCTTCTCATCTTCACATCCTCACATCTTCACATCTTCTCCTCTTGCCCTCTTGCCCTCTTTCCTTCTTTTCTATTTCTCTTCTGAAGGCGGGGGCAGGGGCAGTGCAAACGAGACGGCACGAAACGCAACCCTTTCGCACGAAATGAGGGTCGATCGGCAAAAACTGAGGTAAAATTGCGATTTGACTTGTCCCAGAGCAACCCTTTCACACGAAATGAGGGTCGATCGGCAAAAACTGAGGTAAAATTGCGATTTTACTTGTCCTGGAGCAACCCTTTCGCACGAAATGAAGGTCGATCGGCAAAAACTGAGGAAAAATTGCGATGTTACTTGTCCCGGAGCAAACCTTTCGCACGAAATGAGGGTCGATCGGCAAAAACTGAGGTAAAATTGCGATTTTACTTGTGCCGGAGCAACCCTTTCGCACGAAATGAGGGTCGATCGTCAAAAACTGAGGAAAATTTGCGATTTTACTTGTGCCGGAGCAACCCTTTCGCACGAAATGAGGGTCGATCGTCAAAAACTGAGGACAAATTGCGATTTTACTTTGTCCTGGAGCAACCCTGTCGCACGAAAATGGGTTTGTGTGTGCGAGTGTTTCTCTGTAAAGATGTTTGTGTGTAAAAGTGTTTGTGTGTACAAGTGCATCTGTGTAAAAGTGTTGTGTGTAAAACCTTCTGTGTGTAAAAGTCTTTGTGTGTAAACGGGTTTGTGTGTACGAGTGTTTCTGTGTAAAGATGTTTGTGTGTAAAAGTGATTGTATGTAAAATTGCATCTGTTTAAACGTGTTTGTGTGTAAAAGCTTCTGTGTGTAAAAGTGTTTGTGTGTAAACGTGTGTGTGTGTCGGAGTGTTTCGGTGGAAAGAAGTTTGTGTGTAAAAGTGTTTGTGTGTACAAGTGCATCTGTGTAAAAGTGTTTGTGTGTAAAAGCTTTTGTGTGTAAAAATGTCTCTGTGTAAAAGGGTTTGTGTGTAAGAGTGCTTCTGTGTAAAGATGTTTGTGTGTAAAAGTGATTGTATGTAAAATTGCATCTATTTAAAAGTGTTTGTGTGTAAAAGCTTCTGTGTGTAAAAGTGTTTGTGTGTAAACGTGTTTGTGTGTCGGAGTGTTTCGGTGTAAAGAAGTTTGTGTGTAAAAGTGTTTGTGTGTACAAGTGCATCTGTGTAAAAGTGTTTGTGTGTAAAAGCTTTTGTGTGTAAAAGTGTCTCTGTGTAAAAGGGTTTGTGTGTAAGAGTGTTTCTGTGTGAAGATGTTTGTGTGTAAAAGTGTTTGTGTGTAGAAGTGCATCTGTGTAGAAGTGTCTGTGTGTAAAAGCTTTTGTGTGTAAAAGTGTCTGTGTGTAAAAGGGTTTGCGATGCAAACTATTGTCTTGCACTTCTCACTATTTTGTCTTGATACTCCTCTTCTCGACTGCCTATAACACATCTTTCATATATTGTTTCTAAAATTGTGTCTCCATACTAGCAAGAGAAGACCCTGCTCCTCTACGCTCTCGGGCCATCCGTCGTCTAGTTTTTGTTGCACGTAGGTTTAGAGCAGTGTGAAGTGTGGGGCGTGAAGAGTGCAGTGTGAAGTGTGAAGTGTGAAGGAAGCAGTGGGAAGTGAGAAGTGTGGAGTGTGAAGTGTGAAGTGTGGAGTGTGAAGTTTCAGTTTGGAGTGCGAAGAGCGCAGTGTGAAGTGTGAAGTGTGAAGTGTGAGGTTTGGAGTGTGAAGGAAGCAGTGAGAAGTGAGAAGTGTGAAGTGTGGACTGTGAAGTGTGAAGTGTGAAGTGTGAAGTGTGGAGTGTGAAGTTTGAAGTTTGGAGTGCGAAGAGTGCAGTGTGAAGTGTGGAGTGTGGAGTGTGAAGACTTTGCTTCGTCTCTCGCTGAGGGAAAAAAAAACCGCTTGTCGAGGGAAGGACACGGTCGGGACAGGTTTTTCTTCGAACTATAGGTCATTTATTTTTGGGAAACTTCCGCCGCCGGCTTGCCCGGGTACTTGTAGGTATGGTACGCATGGCATCATTGGAATGTATGGTAGGTACGGCATATGTTCAACACATGTAGTGTTGTGAGAGTACACAGGTAGTAAATAGGAAGTAGATACATAGCACATGTATATATGACTATAGGTGGCACGTAGGTACTTTGATGGAGTATGTGTGCTACGTAGGTCGCCTAAAAGGTAGCATGTACCTAGTAAATGCGAGGCTGGTAGTCAGAAATGCTGCAAAGACCTAGCAAATACGAGGCTGGACCTCAGAAATGCTGCCAATAGCTTGCAAATAGAACGGAAAGGGGGGGTGCTACCTGGGGGACCCAACCCATGAGGGGGGAGGGGGGGGGTGGAGAGACGGAGGACGGGACCATATATATTTGGGTCCGAGCCTTCTCGAAAACAAAAAAAAACTTCTCAGACTTCTCCTAATTCGGGTTTGAGTTTCGTTTCCCAGCCATTCCATGTTCTCTTGGCTGCTTCCACTGTCTAGAAACTGCTGGATCCGCTGCCTGCACCATTGGATGACTGCAGGATCTTCGGAAGCATCCACAAAACGCCGCCAGAAGGGTTTCTTCGACGCTGAGGCAGCTGTGCTGTCTGACCTCCAATCCTGTCCATTCCATCCATTCCATCCAGTCCATCCATTCCATCCATTCCGTCCTTGCGATCCCCAATTCTTCCAACTCATCAATGGCAAAGTCCGGCGAGGCGCCGATGGCGCACTGCCAAAGAGCATATGATCAATATATGATCTGTGTCATCATTGTCATCAAGGACCAAACCTTAATAAAATATGACGTGAATATCCATGAATGATGAAATCATCCAAAACCTGTTCTGTAACTTGTAATGTAAACTGCCATAATGCTGTGGGGCCATCTCCCAACCAAATGTGGAGCCTCTCTATGGAAACAAATGACTTTGACAGCTTGAGAAGTCATGAGCGTCTGCCAGTGCTCAACTGTCATCTTATTGTGGTGAGGCAAGCTATTCAGAGCCCAGCACCAAGCGTCAAAAGAAGCAACCAAAACAAGTTGGACCAAAAGAAAGAATATTGAACAAGTATCAGAACAAGTATCAGAACAAATATGAGTATAAGCAACAAGAGTGGCAACTGTTGTGCAACAAAAAAAGGATTCTGTGCCCCAAGCGAAGCAGGTGCCACATCCTCTGGCCATCGTCCCTGGCAGCGGTGTCACTGTGACGGCATGAACTTGCGAAGCGCCATGGCCGACTGAAGTGGCCTCGGAAGCTGTGGCTTCGCTCCAGGCACCCTGGCGAAGATGAAACTAAAGGCTGCACACACACCAAAAAGAATGTACGAGAACCGACATTAAAACTGAAAAACAAGAAACAAACAAGGTGTATGTATTATCTGTGTGCAAATCTATGTATGCTATATATATATATGATTATGTGTATATAGCGTGCCGTCACAAACACCCAACACTTGCAAACCTCTTACACGTTAATGGGACCTGGGTGCCCGCTGGAGGACTGACCGCAGGCTCCGATTGGAAGACCTTCACAAGGCCAGCATCTCTCGAGTCACACTTTCCCAACAGTAATATACCAGTTATTTAACATAGCCATGGAAAATGACCCATTTATAGATGATTTACCTATTAAAACCTCCATTTATGAGGGATTTTCCATGGCTATGTTAAATAACCAGAGGGTAACCACAAAAAAATCCGCTCAAAATATCTACGTATAGACATAGACATGTGACTCATGCGACATATGGAAATAGATTGAAGCCAGAACTTCACGCCTTTTCTGCCAAAGTCAATGGCGCAGGAGTGTGCAACGTCATCGTGATGGACCTTGACTGGCAGTCAAGGGCAGGGCCACATATTGCCACTGAAACATTCCAAGAATCGGCCATGGATTGAAATCTCTCGGTTCCTGTGGTGCACACCATGATGGCCCCTCCTGGAGACGCGATGCCGTCAGTGCGACAGAAAAAATATACTTCCTCTGCTCCGTTGGTTGGGAAAATTCTGCAATTTTAAACGCCATTGAAAATCAAAACCACTCGAAATTGAAGGGTAAGCTGCAAAACAGGACCTTTGCACCAAGATAATGAGAGGATGGCACTGCTTTCAAACCGATCTTGGAGGATGACACAAATTGAAACCCTGGAAGCACCAGGTGTTGCCACCGCCCCAAAAGCCCTGGTCCTCTGCAATCGGCAGAGCGCCGGGTGCTGGGGTGTGGATGACGTAAAGCCTGCACACAGCCAGCCGGTACATCATCTTTCATTTTTCATGTTTCATCAAAGTTTCATCCTTCATCTTTCATCTCCATACCATCACAACTTGGTTGTTTAAAGTTGCAACTCTTGACATTTTGATTGCGGTTCCAAAATTGGGGGTGCCAAAAAACCCACAAGTTTGCTCTTTTCTATTACGAAATGTATTTTGCCAGACAATTTTTTCAGTTCACAACAGCCATGCCCTAGTATGGGCAGCCATATTATCCACCACAACCCGCCACAACATCGGTGGCAGCCAAGGTGCTTCCCATCTTCAGGGTTCAATGTTCCCTGTGGAGTGGATGTTGAGGTTGAGGCAGCTGGTGCAGCTGGTCCCAGCAACATCGGACGTGGCTTAGCCTGAGCACAGCCGTAAGTCGGGCACACTGGACACCCTTTGGGCGAGCGAACACCCGCTGAGCAAAGCACAGGACATCCTTTGGGCAGTTGGCCCTTTACCTTTGGCCATTGCCAACGACAGACATACCGTCATACCGAGTCATACCGTAATATCATTAGCAATATCCAAGCTTTGTGTCTTCCCTAGAGTTGAAAAAGCGGATGCAAACCGTACACTGTTGGTTTTCTTGTGATCTTATGCCTCGGCAGCCGCAGATTAAGCGCCATACCACGGCAAAGTACTGGGAACTGAAATGCCTTGGAAAAGGAATGGCTCCATTGGCTCCAGGAACGGATGGGAACGGTGCGTTTTGGAACGGAGATCAACTCATCAGGCTAGGCCCGGGCGCCCAGGCCATTTTTCGGAAAGTTCGCAAGACAGCGGCTTCAAATAGCACAGGGCATTGCCTGTATTCGACCTCACGTTTAGAAGCAGAAAAATGACGAAAAGACTAAAGAAAATCATTTTATCTTCAACAGTGCAGATTGAAACAACAGAGTTGTCACACGTCATGAAAAGCCTTGCTTTGCGCAGGAAAAAAATATCGATTCCTGGACTGTGGCCCCTGCACTTGAACATGATGGCAATCATGTCGTGCTCGACAAGCCTCTGTGCAGGCCTCCTGGTCAATGCACAAAGCGCCCTCTTCAGCATTCAACCTGGAAGGATTGGAGAGCGAATCTGGGAACCGTTGGACACCATTTTACCGCAAAATGATGGCGACGGGAAAAATTGAAAACTAAACTGACTAAATTCATATCATTCGAAATTTGATGGTAAGTGCGGCAGGTATCAAGCATTCGATACATTTGTCCAAGGTCATGTTGTGGCCATCAGAACGAAACGCATCACGTAACATATTCATTACCGGGAACAAATCCCATTGGAAATCAGTTCGTGTGCAAAAACAAAATGAAATCATCTGAAACCATCTGAAACCACAACAAAAAACCCAGCAAAATGTAACTGTGCAACATGTGCAACCTGATTCTTTGCTCATCTGAGCATCGATGAGGATCCGCGGACACATCGAGTCCTGGACCTTGCCAATTGACGTGATCTGATGCGACATGATGCGACCAGTTTGTCCAAACAATGCCCCCATGTTGTGCATTGTTAAGCCACCCACTGGCACACATTGCACCGCCACATATCCGCCAAACATGTTGCCTGCCGACAATGTCAACATCAAGAAGCGTTCTTGCTGCAAAAACGTTGTTCGACGCGATAAACACCATAGTAAAATTTGACGCCAAAATAAACAATGTGGTTTCCATTGACACGACTGAAACCAAAATTGTTGCTGAAGACCCCCAACTAGGGCAACTACGGCTGCCAACAATCGGCCTCAGGATCCCATCACGCACCATGTGAGATTCAGCACGTACAACTCCGAATTTGTTGATGGGATGACGCCAGATCACCTTGCCTGTGATGGTGGTGCAACAATGTTATCACAGCATCACTGAGCCAATTACGACAAGCACGTGGCTGAGGAACAACGCCACTAGCAGCCCAGGCAAGAACCTGGGCGGAAGAAGCTAATGTTGCTGGTCCACGCTTGTCCACATGACCCTTTCGCACACCAGCGCCTCCCAAAGTGCGCAACCATGCCGCAACATTGGCAAGAAGAAAACGACTGCTCACAAGCACACATGAACTGCTGCTGTGATTGGCAGGTTTGAGGCGAAGCTAAACTTGAAAAATGAAAAACTATAATGGTCCGAACAGGCAATAATTACAAAAGTTGTTTGGAAACCGACAACCAAATGCAAAAATGTACATGTCATTCATGTTGTTTCTTTCAATCGCACTTTTCTGTCAACATCTACGTGGCGTGATTTGTATATTTTCAACGCTGCCAACTTCACTAATTGCAGTCGCATCCGTTCAACCCCACACCTGCAGTTTCGACAGCCAAATTCGATGTGAGGGGTGCGCTTGCAACATTCATTCACCAGTACAATGCCCCGGCCCGATGCGCTGCTATGTGTTCCCTGGTTCTACGTCTCCCGCCCGAAAAAAACTATGATTTTGAGTTGCCCCTCAAATTCAGGGAGGCAGAATTACATAAAGTTCCACGGTACAGACATTCACAAAACTGCGCAAACCTGAGGAGAGTTCAGAAAAAAAATGAAAAAATCTGAAACACAAAATGCTAAAAAAAAACAAACAAATCCCAGGCGGCCTCAACAGAGTTGAGCAGAACGGAAAAAAATCAAAAATCTCAGAAAAACCCAAGACAATGTTGAGTGGACCCGACAAGAACGGAACAATGGGTTTATGTTGGGAGATGAGAAAAGTTGAGGCGAACCGGGAAGAGCGGAGAACATCTGAGACAACGTGCGCAGAGCTGACAAGAGTCGAACACGAGCGTTTCCTTTTCACGATTTCATGCCACTGTTTTCGCATGAAAATTCGCGAGGAAATATCGTTTCACGCGCCAAACGCGTCCGTTTTGAAGGAGGTCTCGTGAAAATCGCGTTTTCACAATCCAACCTTACATTTTGCAATAGGAAAGTCTCGCACGATAGGTTCATGTTCAACGTACACTTTGTGGAACAAATGTCACACGAAGATGAGGTATTTTTTGCATTTTGTTTTTACTGATTCATCTTCACGACTTAAGTTCCTGCTATTTGTTTTTAATTTTGCATAATTTTCCCGAACGTTTATCATACAAAATGCATTGAGGAATGGCAAGTGCAAGCATCCCGGTTTGCAACCAAAAAAAAACAGTGTTTGCAACCAAAAAACGGGATATAGACGTTCAAGTCACCACTTCGGGCGTTGCTTGGTGCGTTTCTGGGTGCGTTTGTTTATCCCCAATGACCTCGCAATGGGGTGGCGGCCGTGTCCATGAGAATTAACGTCGCAAAGTGTGCAGACAATGCCATCGCCCACGGCCTTTTGCGATTCAATGTTGGCACTTCACACTGCGGCGTTGGGCCGTCTCTGCTTTCATAGTTGTCAGTTGCGCACATTATTGGTTATATTCACATCGATGTGTAACAACCCTCTTCAACCAAATATATTAATTGAATCAGCAATACCTAAACCAAACGGTGCCAAAAAAAAACAAAGCAAAGATTTTTCCGAACAGAACCTCAACGACTATTGAAAATTATGTGTTAATCAGTAATTGGTTCCACCTTACACACAACCTGACATGGCAAAACTCTGACACCAAAGGTGTTTCAAAAAAAATAAGGAAATTTAGAAGTCAAATTTCCGACATCTTCCGACAATATGGACGGATGAAAATCAGAGATAAAAAGAGTCAGGGAAAAGAAGCAAAGAAGAAGGACAAACAAAAAATGAACGTCTCAGACGAATGAAAATACAAGCGCGCGAAAAGGTAGGAGGCTCGCGAAACATGGTGCGGAGCCATCTGGGCACATGATTGATGAAAAATTGCACGCCGTTGTAGCACGAAGCACATTTGCCAGTGAAAAACTAAACACACGTCACGTTTGGAACATTTTTTGGAATTGAGATGTCGAAAAAGAGCACACCGTTGTGGCGCGAAGCACATTTCGAAATCAAAATGTAAAAACCACATCAGTTCCGGAACACACTTAGAAGTTGAGATGTCGAAAATGTGCACGCCGTTTTGGCTGGAAGCACATTTCTAAGTCAACATGTGCAAAACACTACATGTCTGCGCCACTTTTGAACGTTGAAGCGTCGTTTGGCGTGGCAGGCGCAGGGGATTGTGCACCTTCTCAGAAGTGAGGAAGAACGTTCAAAGTTTTGTCGCATTTCTAACAACGATGGCACGCGTGGGCCATTTGAAGAGGATCTGCCAACATGCATTTTCTGTGGCAAGCGCAGTACCGGAGACATATTCATCAGAGATGCTAACAGGTGAAGGTTTTGGGGGGATGATTTTGCGTGACATGTGCAACATGGTGTAATTGGTGTAGTGTAGTACAGTTAGCTGTAATCAGTGTAATTCGTTTAGTGTAATGTAGCGCAATATACTACTTGCATGTGTATTTATCGGATTGGTGTAGCGTAGTGTAGTTCTAGTTGTAGTTGTACTTGTGTATCTATCTGTTAATCTATCTGTCTGTTTGTCTGTCTGTTTGTCTGTCTGGATATTTGCCTATCTGCAAGCTTGAACACGCAGCTATGTTGCGCCACTTCCTCAGTTTTTGAACTTGGCAACATCCAAAACGAACAATTCTGCCAGATTTCCTCTAGTTTTTTTTTTTAACGAACCAATTCCTCCATCTTCGGAGTCGACGACATCAAAAATGAAACAATTCTGCGAGACGTTTTTCAAAGAATGGAGAAAGGTGAGTGCAGAGCTGACGGCCTAGTACCAATGCGTTTTGCGATTTTTCGACTCCACTTGTCTAAAGCACTGCGCCTGCCAAAAAAAAAAGTGATGCCGGGTCATAATGACTACCACAACTACAATTTCAATTTCGCTACGCTACACTACACATCACTACACTAACTACACTGCAGTACATTACGCCTACAAATACCAGTACGACCTCAAACACACTAGATTACACCTACAACTGCAACTGCAACTACCACTACGCTACATTACATTACACTACGCTAAACAACAGTAGTTACACTGCACGCGCTACAATTACAACCAAATTAGTTTGCACTACACTAGGCTACACTATTGTATACCATACCACACTACACAACACTACACGACACCACACTGCAGGACAATACATTGGTTACACCACACCACACCGCGAATACAACTGCAACTGCATTTGCAACTACACTGATTACACCACATTACAAGTACAACTCCGCTCCACTACGCTACCCTACACTACTCTACGACTACAGCTGCGAATGCAACTGCGACTGCCACTATAACTGCAACTACAACTACAAGTGCGCTACGCACCCTCGACTGTTGCCAGGGCAAGGGTGAGGCATCTAAAAAAATAATATAAAATGCAAGGGCCTAAGGAGAAAATGAAGCAAAACACAATGGACAAGTACAAAAGGAAAAATGACGTCAGGCACCCTCCACCTGGCCACTGTTTTAAAGCTACATTTTGCAACTGTTGGACCTCGGCGCACAGCTGTGCATCTTTGCTATGAACCTATTTCTGTCAGTTAACTTGCTGCGTTAGGCACCTCAAAAAGTAAAATGCACCCACAAAATATAATGCTGGGGTCTGACCCATTTTATTTTCATTTTTTTAATTTAACAGGGGTTTCTGCCCCTTCATTGTATTTAGGTACCCCAATGGGGGGCCGCCACAAAACCCAACTCCAACCACCTGTCAGTCCATCATTGGATTCGCTCTGCCATCTGTGATTCGCAACAACCAGCCTCTCCTATAGTTATAAGTTTCCACTTTTTGAAATTTCTGCCACCGGTTTGTGCGGAAAAAAATTAAACAATAATTGAGCTGGGGCGGTTTGTGCACATCCATTGCCCAAAACCCCGGTATTTACGCCTTTGTGAAGACATGTAATAAAACAATGCGCAAAAACGTTATAAATTACGATTTTTTTTGATAACGATTTTTTTTGATAACGGATAATCGGATAATCCCCAAAAAAAATGGAATCGTCAAGAAACGCCGGGCCAGGGAAGAATCGATAGGGGAAGGGACTTCCGTACCTTCAGATCTTAATTTCAAGGAAATGGGCCCCTACCCATACATTTTAGGTACCACAACACATGGAATTCAAGTAGCCTAGGCTATCTTTATCTATCTTTTGTGACCACCTCTTCTCAGACGACCTTTTGCAACAAAAAGTGTCCTCATGTTTTTCGCTAAAATCACCTCTTTTAAAATATTCAAATAAAATTGACTGCTTTCCCTACTTTAAATTTCGCACGTTGTCTCCCATCTGGTGATTTGTTTTGCGACACCCAAGTGTTCTGAAGACATGTAACAACGGTGCATTTATCATTGTTTCACAACATTGGCCCGCAATACTTTGATGCCAAGCAATCCTCAAATTTTCCACTCGGTGAATATTTTCAAACTTGAGAGCAGGCGGAGGCGGACGAAAGGTAGTGTAGTGGGACAGGAGTGGTGTCAAAATGCTGCGCCCCTAAGATGATACACCAAAAACGTTTTTGCGCAGTCTAAGATGATTTTATCCAGAGCATGAGAGCATGACTGCATGATACGGTGTCTTATGCAGCGTGAAATGATGCACAAAAAGGGGTTGTTTATTTATTTTAAAACCCCTTTTTAAGACCACTTGCAGCAACTGTTATTGAGGCTGAAGCAAACCAATTATGCTGAACTACAGGGACATCTCCCTCATGGAGAGTGTGCCTCTACTGTGGCGGACCGTGACCGCGTCACCCGCGGGAATTGAACCCATGACCATTTTCGGGGGGGAGGGGGGGCCTTACCCTCCATAAAGGCAACCAACCCTCGACCATGTACTGATTTTCGTGGCAAGGGAACATGGAAAATAAGCCCCGTCGCATGTACCCGCTCTTCCACGATTTTTATCCGCGCGCCAAATGTGTGTTCCCATGTCAAACTTACACAACAGTGCGGATATCACTGTTGCAAACCTTTAGCGTGTCAAACATTGGGGGCTGCAAACCACCTAGCCACTAATCCCAAAAACGCATTCTCGGACTTTTTTCTGCGACGCACACCAAAAAAAACACACACAATTATTTCCCTTGTTTTCTGTTGCAAACGGACGAAGGCGCTTATACAACCTGCGAATGTAAGTTCTGATTTTTCGCGGAAAAAATCGGCCACGACAAATAAAAGTAAAAACCAAGTGGAAGTCGCGTAACCAAATTGAGAGTTCAATATACGGCACCACAAACTGATCCGCAACAACCTCCTGCGACCCCGTGCGCGCATCGTCTCCGACACCTGTTTTGGCACTATTTTGCCGTAGATTTTCCTGATAATTTTTCTGAAACGTGTTTTCGAAAAACAAAGCAAACGTAATGGTAGGGAAAAAACATTCGCGCATGATAGTTTCCACGGTATGTTTGCGTGTCCTTTTTCCAACACAATTCGCCTTTTTTTCTTTCATTTTTGTCTCCTTCGTATTGAGACGGTTGCATCTTGTTGCTCACGGTTGAAGCAGCACACCTGGTACCACGTTTCTGTCTGCGTCGCCGCCGTCAAATCAGATTGGAATCTGTGCATCAATTTTGTTCGTTGTTGCACATGCGCACACGCGTTCCTCTCGTTCAAACCACCCTGAAACAATTGCATCCTACCGTCCTACGAATTACCGAAGCGTTTACCATTAAGTTCAGCCGTCATCCCAACCCCCTAGGTATATGTCATCGTTTTCGCATCACGGTGCCATTGCTTTTACTGTCAAGAGTTTGTTGTCCAAACGCCAATTCGTTCTCCAAATCGTTGTTCGTGGCGTGAACTTGCATTGGTTGTGGCACGGACCGTTTGTTAAGTTTGCTGGCGATGATTAAGCAGATGGCTAGGCCGGTTGTCATTAGATCCATTAGTTTGTTTATGCCGCCAAAGGGCTGCGCACAGGTGGAGGCAAATTGGCGCAGAAACCTCTTCCAACCAGGCAATTTTTAAATGGGCATTGCACCGTACGGTTCTGCATGAAAGCATTTTTATCCCGTGGTTCCTTTCAAGCCTATAATTTCATATAATTTCTCGATTGCACGTGTTGTGCATTTCGGGTTGGGTTGCTGTCTGCTCGCATCCCGTCCCCCTGAATCATGTTGGTGATGTTGGTGGTATTTTGCCTCTAAAGCTGGCAGGGCGCCTAACATGCTACCATGAAATTCTTGAAAAATATCCCCATCGCGTGTTTACGACTGTTTGGCGTTCCTGGTTTCACATGGGTCAACGGCGCATATATTTTTTGATCTGGTGTGTTTGTTTTTTTTATTTCGCATTTTTCCCTTTGTTTCGCACTTGAGGTTCATCACCGTTACACTGGCACAGGAAGTGCGCGCTACATATCCACAATGTTGCCACAATGTAAACGTTATTTTTTCCTTCGCTTGCATTGACTTTTGATCTCTGGTCGATTACGAATGTGCCATGTGATTGAACCAGGCGCCGGTCTTAATGTGAAGTGGCACATTCCCGCCGAAACATGTTTCCGTCGGCACGCTATTGCGACATTTTGTTCGTATTTGCACCCCACAAAGACATTCAGACTCTGCTCAAGTCACGGTGGTTGCTTTTATGTTGTTATGTTTCAGCCGTACCAAAGCTTAAATGTGAACGACCCAAAACGACCCAACCAAGTGCGAATCATATATTGGTGCCACTACACTGTCAACGATTTTTTGCACTGATGATGCGCCAAAAGGTGGCAAGTTTTGTTGTGGAGCGCGTGGCACATTTTGTGGTGGACGGAAAAAAAGGAGGGAAAAAAAACCTGGGGTCCGAAAGCGTCATTAAAGAAAAAATGGATCAGCGAGTACGTGCAGCGGGCGCTGGTCATGATCAGTTGGCAAAATTCCGGTGGGGTCTTTGCGGACTCGTTGTGGGCAGGTTGTTGTTTACCTGATGGATTGGTGGTGGGTACGATTGGTGGCGACGCCCATATTTTAACCAAAATTTTAAAGGAAAAACTATAAGAATAGCACCATATTCAGGCCTCGCCGCCCCCATTTACAGAAGGCGTTGCGGCACAGGCGCTATCGCAACGCACACGGGCTAGGCAACAACTAACAAGGAAACGCCACAATGGTTACTTGCAACTAATGCGTTAAACGCGACCTCGCGCCACGTGGTCATGTTTTGGGTCTGTTTATGGCCTCAAGACATTAAAAACAGATGTCACCTCGGCTGAAGGCTACTTCAACTCATCATATCCGGATTTAGTGTTGTGATTGCTAAATCCGGCTTTGATTGGAGCACCCCATTTCCCAAGAGGGTTTCCGGCAAGGAAATCGGTGTCAGAAAATGTCTAGGTTTTTCAACGTATGTGTGTATGAACATCGTGAAAATATGCCTTATCATTGGAAAAAAAATCGTGGAAAACCAACCACCACCCAGCCAGCTAGTACACCTTTGAATACCAATCGGAAAATAGATCCAAAGGATACATGTTTTCCCCTCATTCTTTGCGGCGTGTGGACCCTTGCCGAGCAAGGCTCTCGGCAAGGCAAACCATGTCACTGCGTTTTCTGCCAAATCAGTTTGCATCGTTTGGGTTCTGGGCCAAGTTCATGTTCAGTTGTATGATGTACATCGTGTTGTATGATGTTGTACATCGTTTGTATGGGTTCCTTCTTGGTTTTGTTGAAAAACAACGTGGCAACAGCAAATAGTTTACAGTTTTGCACAAAAAATGTTTCACCATGCTGAAAAACACAATAGTTTGCTGGCTAAGTCCATCATACACCATGTATATCAATGTCTGCCATTCTGAGCATCACATGGATTAAAAATTGAAAGAATTGGATTCAAATGATTTTTCAAATTTTTCTTACAAAAACACTTATATGATGATAAAAGTGTTTGAGTGTTACACATGATAAAAGCAACTTGAAAACAATTTTAAGATTTCATTTTTTTTGATCCCTGGGCCAACCTTTTGTTGTTTTGTTTGTTTTCCGTTGTGTCTAGAACACCCATGTAACTTTGCATTTGGCATCCCAGTTCCGAACGCATTGAAAGGAAGGCTCGACGTCAGTGCTATGCAATTGCCAAAAAAGTGTGATTGCACGGGGTTGGGTAATGCCAATTTTGGAACGAAACTGCTGTGTTGCTACTGTGGCACGCGCTTCCGCCAATGAAACATTATTTTCTTGTTGAACCGTGCCCTCAAATTATATCAATTTGTACCTACCTTTTTTGGTGTTCGTATGCCTTCTTATTCCCGTTATTTTTTCAATTTGCGACCTAGACACCCACCCCATCAATCGCATTGGTGTCTGCCCTGATGCGGTGGCCTTTGCGGCTGGTTGATGTTTGCTACCATTTTTGTATGATTCTATGCTGGTCGTGGACGTTTTTTGTCAGAAATTTTGGTTGACACTCATGGATGTGGCAATTTTATGTAAAATGTTAGATAGCGGAGTGGCAGTACACAGCGTTTTGCCGTTTCTCTCTGAGCCACTGACAGGTAATGCAGACGCACGTTTTGTGCATGTGCAACTGAACATGCTGACAGTCCACTGACAGTACAGTTCTCTGTTTGTGCCTGTCATCCTTGCATGGGCGTTTCACTGGAAATGTTAAACACCCCGCCTCAAAATTGTGCTGAAAATTTGAGGCATAATTTTGCATTAATCCTCACACCTTCATTACTGCAACCTGATAGGCCTTGTTGGATGAACCATTGTTCCACAAAGGTTCCCCAATTCTGCAAATACATGCCCCGGACGAAGATATCCGTGAAAACCGTGAATCCATGGCGTGCGTTCCCTACGTGTCCACCACGCTGGATAATCCCAGCACATGTCCGGCTGACCGGGATACAAACTGGACTAACTGGACAAGTGAGTCTTCAGGTATTCCTTGAAGACTACCACATCAAACGAAATTACCCTGCGTCTCTCAGTCTCAGGTAGATTCTTCAGGATCTCGTCCAGGTCATCCCAGTCCACATCTTGAAGAGGCAGCGCAACCGGGTCATGGTCCGAATGGGGCGAACCAGGAAGCGAAAGGTATTCGTGGGTCGCGACTCCGATCTGGCATCTCGCAGACCATCATTCGCCAATCCACCAGCTGCAATCCGCGTAGCTCCGGGCTCATGTTCTGCTTGTCCATGCGCCATCGCTGCTGAGACGGCTGCGACGGGCGGTTGCGTCTCTTCGTCCACTTCCATTGCTTCTTCTTCTTCGGCTCCTTCTCCATCTGAGAGCGTGTAGGCGTGTAGGCGTTCGATTTCGGCAAATCCATGCCGCAATCTGCGGCGCCTGTCCAGCTTCACGAAGGGTGCCATGCCACCTTCCACCTCACGGAAATACTCTTCGCCGGATTCGGCGTCATCCACCGAGCGAAGCACACTGAATTGTCTCAATTCGTGCCGCTCCGGATCCCAATCGTCGATGAAGCCAATCTCCCGCCTGTTGAAAATGACCTGCTCGGAAGCTTACGTCACCACCTCTTTCAGTTGAAACTTGCAGATGGCATTCTTGACTAAGTATAGCCAGCCACCATTCCCGCCAGGAAGAACGTGAGGGCATACCGGCATACCCGAGCATGAAGTAGGGGACCTCCAAGAAGAGCTCGATGTACCCAAAGTTCTTGACCATGAAGTTGTAGTTGAGCTCGTCCGTGTGGGCTCCACTTGCCACTGGTTGAAGAGCAAGTAGGGTCATCGCCTTGACCAAAAGCTTTGAGATCTCGTTCGGGATCGTCTCCATGCCGTTCGCCACAGGGTATTCAGAACGACTCGTCGAACTGTCTTCATACTCTGGCCCATGTACTTCTTCCGCATGTAGATGTTGAACTCATCCTCACCTGCCGGGACATACATCTTGCTCACAGTGTCGTACTCCACCAGGCCAATCAAATACATGAGGAATGATCGACGGGCCTTGGTGAGTTTCTTCGTGTTGATGTCGGCCACGTTGAGGACTGTGGCCACTCCGTCCATCTCCAAATCACCAGCTTTCACCTTGCTCTCAACCCATAGATACTTGGCATCAATGTGCTTCATCCTTCCCACACCTTGCCGTTGTGCAAAGGCTCGGCACCTTGAAGAATCTGAAACAAACCTTGCCACCACTTCCGTCCGGGTCAGGAAGCTCCAAAGGCGAGCCACGTAGAGGGACTTAGCGCTACCCCCAACCGCAGAGAGGTATTCACTCTTACAGCTGCTGAGAGCTATGCTCTTTTGAGTGCGGGATCATGAAGTCACCAACCTGTTGTCCACAAAGATCAGGGCTGATGACACTGAATGTCGTTGCCTTGCACGTGTTGACTTATCTCCATCCCAATCGGCATCTGTGAATGCCTCCACCAGCTCCTTCTCTTGCTCCACAGAACTAGAGCCACCTCGTACTTCATCCAGTTTGCTTTTCCCAGGAACTCGGAAAAGCGGTAAGACACCGAGGTCAGGTGTTCCTTTGAGGTAAAGGATCAAATGCTTGACTCCATCTCCAGCTGACACCGTTGGCTCGGCCATGAACTGGCTCAGGCGTCACCCGATCCTGACTTAGGTACAAAAGTGCACGCATTGCTGACCTGAACTTGTACTTGCCTTTCTCATCCAACTCTTTGGCGTCATACACCGCGCCATTGATGTCCGGTGTTGTCCTTGGTTTTCTGGCTTCCAAGCCATACAGTTTCCTGATCACAATCCCCGCCTTGGTGAAGAAGTGTCTCTTCTTGAGGAAACGAATGGGCTCTTGCTCATCATGATCTGCAGAGGGTAGGACGTCACCACCTCGAAGAGTCATCCTCCTTTTCAACTCTTCAATGAGCCATTCCAATTCACCTCGTTCTCCACAGAGCACCATATCATCCACATGTGAGCAGAGAATCACCTTCTTGGTCTTGTGCCTAAATAGGCTGGGCAGCAGGCTATTCTCAAAGTCCAATTCTTGGAGATGGTCACAAAGGAAATCGAATCGAAGAACCGAGCTGCTGCATTTCTCTGGTATTTGGAATGACCATCATCGTTCCACCACCATGACGGCTTCTCCACCAGAATCCGGGGACTAGCAAGAAGGCATCCTTGATGTCAATGAAGCTGAGGCACATCCATCACACTGCGCGTAGATAGGACCACTCCTTCCTCCAAGTCTTCAGCTGTTGGCTCTTGGAGGACAGTCATCTCAAGAAGTCGAGTGATCTCCTCATACCCAGCAGCTTCATCCAAAGAAGCTAGCTCACCTGCAGTCACCTGCGGAGGTTTTCCTTCATCAGCTGGAGTGCCATCATCTTCTCCCATGTTGATCACACCATGCCACTGGGCTCGATGTAGTCAGCTACATCATTTTCCCAAACTTCATCATCAGTTTCTCCAACGGCCAAAACTTGCTGGATAGTGCCAGCAAAATGGGGAGGGTACAAATTACTCCCACTGGCTGATGTTGGGCTGCTTTGAGGACTTGTCCTTGGAACCTTTTGTTGAGGTTCAGCACTTGCAGTGTCATCCGCCAAAGTTTCAGCACCTGGTACTTCTTCTTGATCTCCATGTCGAGCAGACTTGTTGGGAGGAAAGTCTTCTGGTGCTGCTTCATGTTTTCCAACTCCAAAGCCAGTCAGATCCAAATCGCTGACTGGGCTTGGTGGATGAGTGCGGGCATATTCTCGAACATCTCGAGCATCCACATCATATTCCACTTCATCCTCTGGGACGGTATAGGATGTTTCTCCACCACTGGCCTGTGTGTAGTTGGAGCACCAAAGTTCAAGTGCTTCAGGTTGGCTCTGCGAGATGAGACATGCTTGTAGGGCTTCTCCTTGACCATAAAGAGCCATCAGCCTTCGAATTGCTTTTCCACGTAGAATCCCATTGGGACTTGCCACAACGTGCAGATCATCACCATCAGTCTTGGTGAGCCAAATCCCCGGTACCCATTGAGGTCCAAGCTTGACATTGGTTCCCCTGCGATGCAGCAGCAGAACTTTCCAAAATATCTCCTTCCCAAAGACCAACTCGAAGGGGCTCATCTTCGTTGTAGTGTGGTTGTAGAACCTGTTCAAAAGTCCATGCAGCGTGGATGAGTGCCCATGACCATAGAGCATGATCTCCAGGCAGCTGCAAGCCACACTTGTCAGAAGCCGTGCGGACGGGGGTTGAACTCTGTTTCCTGAGTGTTTTGATCACCTTCTCCACTTGAGCAGTTCTGCCCTTGTCACCTGGCCTCGAGTGCGTGATCACCGTGGGATACCCAAGGTGCTGCCGCATCAATTGCACACTCGCCACAAGGGACTTCATTGTTGGCTTGGCATCACTGATGAACTCCACCTTGTCCATGTAGTTCAAGGCTTCCTGATTTCGCCTCACCTCACTGCAGAGAGTGTGTTACTGCCGCGTGGATGTTGGCAGGCTTGGCGGGGTATAGCAAAATCTGTCTCGTTGCGTAACGTGGCAACACCACGACGGTCTGTAATTCTCGGTGTTGGCCCTGTGTGGGCTCTACTTTTTCATAGCCCTTCAAGACACTCTTGCTGTCAGTGCTATGAACGAGGACACACTACACAGCGAGAAGACCGACTCCCTTGTGCCTTTTTTTTGGCCTATGTATCTTCGTTGGAGTTGTTACGCACTGCTTTGGATGAATGGAATACGAAGCTGTCTCTCTCCGTGGCAAATACATTTGCATACTTTTCTGGCTGCTTTGTGGCTTTGCCCCCCCTTGGGGGGCCGCAATCCAGTGGTTGTCGGTCTGGGTTAAGGCATGCAGTATTAAGTTTGGCAACTGACACAATCGCTTTAGAAACTCGCTAGCACTATAAGGGTGATGCTTCGGAAAAGAACTTCTGAGAGGAATCTGAGCTGAGCGGGTTTTGTTGCGCAATTTAACTGGAGCTTGTTTACCAGTGTAGGTTGTCTCTTCTTTGAATTAGTTTAGACGCAGTCTTTCATTTGTTTGTAATGCATGTTTTTGCACTATGCATTGGTGGGTTGAATTACCCATCAATGCCCTTGTGCTGGTGGTGGTTTTTGTTTAGTTTTGGGCTCCGGTCCCTTGCTGCTGTTGATTCTCTGTTTGTTTTTTTGATCTGCGTGGGAAGATACGCATATCTGACTGGGGGATGTGCACTTCTTCCCTACGCTTGTGTGTGGGTTTTCTGGTGTGCTTTGAAGAGGAAAAGTCAAGAAACCTGAAGAAGCTGCCTTTAAGGCGCCCAAGCAGAATCACCGGAACACCGCCGCGAGGCGGGAAGCGATCTCTCCTGCCATTTTCGTCTTGGACACGACGTATTACGCGATCCCGGAGCGGACCTGATGCTTCTGCCCGCCACAGTGAGCCAATTTGCCCCGACCCACTGAACGACTACAAACTAGCATTCCGTGGCCTTTCCCGCATGTTTCACCAGCGAATTGAACTATGTTACAGCTTGTATCTCTCTTGTTTTTCAATTGCATGTTGATGAGTCGCCTCCTCGGTGCATTTCTCACCCTGGATTGGTTGGGTTCGTACCTCTCTACCAGGACAAAGTGACGCCTCGGTTGACTAAGAAGTGCACTGCCCATCCTCGAATTGAGTTTCTCATGGTTTTGTCTCACTCATTTTCTGTGGTATGTCTATAAGATGTATTTTTGGTGCATTCCTAGCCCTGGATTGGTTGGGTTTGCACCGATGCTAGAGATTTGGAGCCCCTGCATTACTAAGGAATGCACAATGCTGACATGCGGAAGTTCACAACCTTCAAAAACCTCTAGACCTACCTGGGTCAGCAGCAAGGACGTCGTCCTTAAGAGAGAAAACGGTTCACACAAACCAAGTCAGCCGATCCCAGAGCTCAGCCACTTTTACAGCACACAAGCGAAGAAACGTGTCTCTGCACCTGTTGCTTTGTCTCCTTATGTTGACGTGTCACTTCCTTGACACAAAAACGGCGGATGAATGCCGCATGTTGACATTTTTATGTCAGCGCTCACAAAAACCTGCAACAACGCATGTCAACTCTAGAAATCTTTACATCATGACAGGGTTTGTTTGTTTAAACATGTTTGAGTGTTCGAAAAACGTGGAAACATTTCAAACATCAACGTTCTCATCCAAAAACGTGTTGTCTTCGGATTTCCAAAAAAAAACTCAGCAAACGTAACGTTCTCTTTCATGATGTCTCCCTCAGATTTGTTGACAACTCAAGTTCTGAATGCCTTCAGAACGTTGCACAATTCTTTCATCATTGAGAGACATACTAAACTTCCACAAGTTCAAACTGAATTCTCTGTCGCCAAAACAAAAGTGAAGGAGATGGAAAATGTATCGATTTTCCATTTCATTCCACACATTCAAAGCTGCATCGCATTCTCCATGCAACTAAAGTAGATGTGAAATCTCTTGTTGTGCATTTCACCATCCAAAGCATAAATTACACCTTCCGGTGCAAAAACGACAAAGAAATGAAAAACATCTGGTTCACAGGTTTCGTCATTTCCAGTGAAAGCTGCATCAGATAGTACAACCAAAGGTGAAGGAGTTGGAAAACATATCTTTGTAGGGTTTCACCATCTCCACTAAAAGCTGTATGGCATCGTGCAAACAAAGGTGATGCTGGCCATTAGCGTCAAGGAACGAAATGGGTTCATATCTATTTTTCCTGCGAACCAAAGCCTCGACATGTAAACTGTCCACCATGTGTGTTACATGGTGCAAACTGAAGTGTTTGGTTTTCAAACTGGTTTGAGTAGCTTTCAACTAGCAAACAGGGGCTAGAGTGCTCTGACAAATCTAGATACCCCACCTTGGGCATATGAGCCTTTAGCTCAAATGACCAAACTTCGTGAAACTTGCAACGTTGCTACCTAAAGCCTATTTGCCACTTTCGTTGGGATCTCGTTAACCCGTGGCAAAACACTTTCTGCTTCTCTTTTCTGTTCCTTCTATTGTCATCTGCAAACCTGGCTTCCTTTCTCACACCGAAGGGCTATGCACAGTGGATGACCCTGTTGTATTGCTATTGCAAGCTTCTGACTCATCATCGCTGATATCCAAAATGCTATTCATCATGTACAAAGCATTGGGTCTTTGTACTGGATCTTCTCGGCAAGTTTCGATCACTGAGACCATGATCTGCCGACGTTCCACATAGATCTTCACCTTCTGGGTATTTCCAGCTTCCACGTATTCAGCCAAACGCTTGGTCAAGCGTCCAATCATCCACTGAGCAATATGTTCTGGAGAAATTTGCTCGAAAGGGGGAGCAATCTCCATTGCATTGTATTCCTCAGGCATGTCATCAGGTATGCATGCTTCCACTTCAGGTTCATCTCCTGTCAGAAGAAATTCCTGATGAGCACGGTCTTGTACTCTGAAATTTTCATCCACGTCTGCAAACTGTTGTGTCACTTCCAAAAGTCTGTCCACGCTCGTAGAGTTGAGGCCGTTGTCCTCAAAAGTTTTGAAGCATCCAAGTAGTTGTTGCTCCAACTCAGCAAGTTGTAGCTCCATCTCAGGTCCAGTTGTAGATCGCAAAGTCTCGATGCGACCAGTGCAAGCAGAAATGAAGCCATATACCAAAGCTTCATTGTATGTTCCATGTTCTTGCAAACTTTGTTCCAGTGGAAACGCATCGGGCTCACCTTCTGGTTCATTGTTGCTCCCAGGCATCATGAAGCAAACACTGCTAAACCAGAAAAGCATTGTAACCAAGATGAGAAACGCAAATCCCATCCTGAGGTTCAGCCAGAGGCTCAAGGCTTCAGTCCCTTGAGCAGCTTCAGCCATTGACAGCAAACTGCAAGTTGCAAGCACACGCAAGACTTGCTTTGAAATACTGCTGAGGTGTGGCAGTTTTGTTCCATCTGTCTCAAGTTCAGAATTGATGACACGATTAACAACGCTGATTTGGGATTTCATCACTGACTTCGTCTGCATCCTTGCATATTCATTTTCACCAACTCTTCCATCTGCATCCACATAGCCAATCATCCAAAGCAGCGCAAAGAAACGTTCACGTGTCAAACCTTTGGTGTTGAGGTCTGCTATGTTGTAGGTTGTTGAGACCTGTCTGATCTCGATTTCCTTTGCTCTGAGCAACTGCTGCATCCACATCATTCTGCCACTGATGTGTCTGAGTCTTCCAACACCAAGCTTTGCTGCCACATTTCTCACTGCACTGTTGTCCACATGAAGGACCACGCACTGAACATCACCAGTCAGAAATTGCAAAATGTTTCGAAGAAACAAACTGTCGCAAGTTGCTGCTGAGCCAGCATACCATTCTGCCTCTGTTGAGGAAAGGCTGATCGCTTTCTGGCTTCTCGAGGTTGAGTGCACAATCAAACCATTGAGAACATGCATCGCTGAAGAAGTACTTTTGAATCCAGTTCCACCATTCCAGTCTGAATCACTGTAAACTTCCACAACGTTTTCAGTTCTTTCACTTTCAACACCATTCAATGTTTCCATGAACATCTGACCTTTCTGAGTTTTGCACATCTGAAAAGCAAAGTCCTTGCTGTAACGCAAGTATCCAACCAATCGTCCAAGAGCGGTCCAAGAGGCCTGTGTAGGGGCCTTCAAGTCACAAGCCAAAGTCTTAGTGGCATATTGTATGTCGTACCTTTCCTGGGCCATGTACATGGAAATGCCAACAAGTGATCTGTATTCACTGCTCATCCAGTCACTCAACGCTGGGGAGTTGGCTGCAAAGTGCATAGGGTTTTGCAAACAAGGCGTTTTGGACAACTTGGCAGGCTTGCCATTGGCTACAGCAAAACGTTCAACCATGGTGTTTATGTGCTTGGCTTCTGGGTGGATTACTATGGACTCATAGTTTGGGGCTATCACATGCAACCTTTTCAAAAACTCAAAGCTTCCACCCTCATGCTTCGGTGCAAAAGTGTAGCTGATCTTGAACGCAGACTCAAGATGTGGAATGAGCTCTTGAGTCGCCCACTCTTCAGTTCCATGAAAAAGCAGGTCATCGACATGTAAAAGGATTGCACCAGAGCCACATTTCAACAAGCATGGCAACTCTTGACAAACTTCCAGTTTCATCTTTGAATCCAGCACTGCAACAAAGTGTTGATACCAAAGCAACGCACCATCTCGCTGTCCTGGAAGGCACTTGAGGATGACAAAGGAAAGGTCACCCAATTTCACCACTCGAGGTTGTCTCTGTGGCACCTGCAGGTAAGCATCTGCAATATCTGCAGTACCCAAAATGCCATCATTCACAAAACTGTTGCTAAGTGCCAAGGCTGGCAACACCTTTGTAACTGCAGCGCAAGACGAAGGACTGTAAATGTCATCTCGTTGTTCCAAGAAAGCAAATTCTCTTGCTACCATTCTTGATCTGCGCATCCACGCAGGTACTTCAACATTTTCACCTGACTCACTTTGAATCATTCTGGTTTTCTTGCGCCATGTTCTAACCATCTTTGCACTGAGTTCTTTGCCAAGAGTTCCAGTGTAGTCTGAAGGATTGATAATCACACCCATGCTCTGTAAACGCTGGATTTCTACCTTGTCAGCTACCTCATCGATTGCTTGAAGTTCCAACTGGTCAAGCACTGGTTCCAACACTGAAAACGGTTTCCACAAGCATTCAGTGTCCAATTCACGAAACGTTCATCTCTGCAAAGTCAGCAAAACGACCCCCCTCTTCAAGGGTCATTTGGTTGAAAGAATCCATGCACTCATCATCGAAAAATTCAACTGGGTCAACATCCATGTGGTGCATGTCAACATCATCCACACGCAAAACTCTGGCACGCTTCGCACTTGGCTCTTCCACTGAGCTTGACTCTGCTGAAACATTTGTTGTAGATTGCCCCACCTGCTCGACACCCATACCTCCTTCACCAATTCCAGCTGTTGGCACTGCTGGACTTCCAGTAACAATTGGAGTTGTGGCCATTGATGGATGGTCTGCTTCAACTGGGCCACTGACAACTGCACTTGGTGGAGGTGGCAAACGTCGAGGAGCAGGCATCTCTGGTGCTGTAGGTGCAGGCACTTCTGCTGGCACTTGCACATCTGTTGGTAGTGGTGTCAAAGGAGGAATGATTGCTATGGCATCAGCTATATTTGCAAGTACAACTTCCATGGCTCCTGACTCATCCTCAGGGTCTGACGCTGCCTCATCATCAATGCCTGGAAAAGCTTGAGGCATACCTTCATCACGCAGTTCACGTCGATTTGTTGTTTCAATTTTGTTTCCAAAAGATGCATCGGTCTGCCATGGAAAAACTGCAATCTGCCTGTAATGCTCCATATGTTCACTCCAAACTGGAAAAATGCTCTTGATTGAATGGCTCAAACGCAAGTTCCCTGAAACTGAAGCAATGTACATGTCGTTGGACATATTCTTGCCCAAAAAGATTCCATGCCTCCATTTGGGATCTCCCTTGTGCTTGTTGCTATCTCCAACGTAAATCATCACAGGCGCTCCAAAATCACAAAGCTTTCCATGATATGGATGTCCAGAAATGAGTTGGTATGCACTCACATTGCATTGCAAGCTGAATCTTGTCAAAGTCCATGCAGCATGAGAAAATGCCCAAGAAAACAGTGGGTGCCCTGGTGGCACATCATATTTGAGGTTGTGGGTCAACGCATGTAGAAAAACCATGGCTTGGCATCTCACTCTGTCAATTGCCTTTTCAGCATGTGGGTTTGAACCCTTGTCCAAAACTTTTCCATTTTCAATGACTGTTCTGAGATCTTGGCGCTGTCGAGCTCGTTGAATCACACGCTGGATATCCAAAGTTGCAGGTTCATTGTCAGTACGCAAGCAAATGGCACCATAACCAAGGATGTTGATGAACTTGATGATTTCTTTTGCAACATGTTTCCCTTGATGTTTGCCACGCACTGGAATGCAATGAACTGCATTTGAATGTGAATCATGCACAACAACTGCTGTAAGCTTCTGGACTTGTGCACCTTCCTCAACTGCTTCTCCAGTTTTGCCAGTATGGCAATAGTCAAAGGAAATAACAGGAATCTCACGCTGTTTCAATGCATCTGGATCAACTCTATGCGCATCAGGTCGTGCTTTGGCCATGTTGCAAGCTGAACACCAATCCTTGTAAGGCAAATGAGTAAGGTTGTGGCTTTTGATCTCTTCTTCACTGGGAGGTTGCGCTGAATGCACAGGCCTTGCTGGTTCAGTTGATTCCTGCAGGGCCGAGTCTGAAAGTTCTTTCTCCTCCAAGATGAGCTGTTTGTCAAGTGTTGCAACAATTCTCGACCAAAGTTTCGACTTGCTTCCAGACTGTGACACTTGCAGGAAGCTACATGCAGCACGCAAAACTGTAATTGCAGAATCCTTTGTAACCTGCACACCTGCAACTGTAACCACATCCCTATTTTGTTGAACTGCAACGCTCTCTGGCACAGCACGACTTTCTCTGGTTGGTTGCTCTCTGGATTGAGCTTGAACTGGCAATCTTTGAGATCCTGAGCTCACTGCAGCAGTAGGTGCAGGCAGTCCTCCACCTGCTGTTCACTTGCACCACCCTGCATAGCATCGTCCAAAACAACCATGCCAAAATCACTTGGACTAAGCACTGCATTTGAAGCCAATGTGATAAGGTTCTGATAGCGCTCATTGGTCTTTAGAAGTTTTCAGAAGCGTCAACTTCCGAGTGTTGGAAATAATTATTACAAAACAATAGGTAGCGCAAGTATGATTTCGCTTTGAATTATATACTTAAATTTGTATATGTGAAAAATAAAAACGAGGAGTGACTGAGGAGCTTCTTATAATTCATAATAGATTTCCGACTTGATAAAATTCTCTTTGATATAAGGTTTCCTTTTCTGTGCATTCATTTATTGACTGGTCGGGGGTCATGGAAAGCTCATGTTGAGCTTCAGTCTCGAAGAAACGGACACGCAAAGGTTTTTGCAACGATGCCGACTGAGTTGTCGGTTGCTTGCAAGGTATAGCATGACCCGCTTATTCCCCCCCCCTGTTGCGTGGGTGGGAAAAAATAGGGTGGGTCACGCAGCATGGGGCTAGAAAAAGAAATTTCTAAACCCTCCTACCCGCCCAGCCAGAGCTGCACGGGATGAAATAAAAACAAGCCCAAGAATAACAAATTCAAACATGCGTGTGTTTGAGCAGATCTCTTGGAAAGCACATGATTTCCTAATGTTAGGGTATTGGCATCATGTGTATGTTAAAAATAGATTCCAGAATAAAGATAAAATGTCAACAGTGACCGGAGGAGATATTCTGGTAAACACGTTTGACAATAGACAGATTTCTCAGTATGATTGAGAGAATACCGAACAGGTGAAACAAGTGTTCATCAGAAAGGTTTCGACAGTTTGTTCGTTGACACTAAGGGAGAAAGTCAGTGTGGGGTTCTGTTTTACGCTTCCGTGCCTGAGGTGGCACTTTGAAAACTAGTAAAGACAGTTTTATCCCTTTCAGGGAGATGCACCGTCTTTAGAAGTTTTCAGAAGCGTCAACTTCCGAGTGTTGGAAATAATTATTACAAAACAATAGGTAGCGCAAGTATGATTTCGCTTTGAATTATATACTTAAATTTGTATATGTGAAAAATAAAAACGAGGAGTGACTGAGGAGCTTCTTATAATTCATAATAGATTTCCGACTTGATAAAATTCTCTTTGATATAAGGTTTCCTTTTCTGTGCATTCATTTATTGACTGGTCGGGGGTCATGGAAAGCTCATGTTGAGCTTCAGTCTCGAAGAAACGGACACGCAAAGGTTTTTGCAACGATGCCGACTGAGTTGTCGGTTGCTTGCAAGGTATAGCATGACCCGCTTATTCCCCCGTGAAGTCGTCATGCTGTTGCAACTCCAGCTGGAGGCTGTTTGCATGCTGAATGCTGTGTTGAAGGAGCGTCGGCATCTGCTTGAAGTCACTGCAAAGTCTGGCAACAGTCTCAACATCGACAGGTTCGGTCCAGGCATCACCACCTATGAGCCTGAGGGCCAGTTCGGTCTGGCCTCTACTTGGAAGGTCGGCGATGGTTGATTTCGACGGCACTCTCTCTATCCACTGCAGGCATTGGTCTTCCTCGGAGCAGGAATGGAAGAGCTGGACAATCTGCAGCAGCGCGAGAGTCGGGCTTACACCCTTTATCAAGGAATACCTGGCACCCTCATTGTCCACGAAAAATAGAGCTCTACGCTTGGTCAAGGTTTTTCGGAAAACAACACGTGCAAGAAGAACTGCAAAGGCCTCTGCTAAGGTGATTACCTGGTCACTCCCTAGGCTATGCCATGCGTCTACCAAGGAAGCTGGAATTTCGCCTCCAAGTGCAGTCCTTACCTCTGTCGCGGGGTCTATCACCACTATCCCCCAGGTAGCCACACCATTTTCATAAGCGGCATCTGTGAAAACTAACACTGGTTTTGCTACCCCCTCGGGGTCCAACCTCTTTGGCTTCAGAGTTCCCACCATGGCGTGGGTCCAGGCACACAGCTGCTCAATCTGTTCTGGTGAAGCTTTGTGACCCTCGGTGGTCAAGTGGGCAAACGCACGGGCTGAGACAAGGAGGGATTTCCCTAAGAAGAAACTGAGGGCGAAGTTCAGGTTCCCATGTACCACTTGGGCATGCCTCTTGTCTACTTTCTCAAGGGTGGCAGTGTCTTCCAAGAGTTTCTGAATTTTCTCGACTCTACTAGGCTTGTTTTGCATGACGAAGGGGCCCCCATGCAAGGAACCTACGCTCAAGCGTATACCAAGGACGTCAAACTCAGTCTCAAAAGGATGGGTCTTGTTTGGGTCGTCGGAGAACTTCCAACCCAAGGCTTTTAGAAGTCCTTCAAAAGACTTGGTTGCCAGGGCGCACAAGGGCTGCGGCTCCAAGAGTGGAAAGTCATCAAAAAAGACTCCCCCAAGCAGTTTGCAAAACACGCTTGCTATGTGCCACAAACTCCTGGAAACTCTGTTGAAACCAAACACGCTAGAGCTTGCACCAAACGGAAGGCTGTTGCTAACGAAGTACACTGGGAGGCCAGTGCTATGGTGATGAACCATCAGCACTGCGAAAGGTCTCGACTCAGGGCTGACAGGGATTTGCTTGTAGGCCTTTGACAAATCCACGCACCTGCCTCGCCATTCTACTTCGCCTTCAAAGTCTGGATGCAATCGTCCCACCATCCACTGGCCAGTCTTGAGTGGTATACCTTCACCAAACGTTCTGGGTCGTCCATGGCATGCCTCACTGTGGTGGTTATCAAGTGTGCAAGAGAAGCTACGTAGTCAACATCGTGCAGGGCCAGTGCATCGACAGCAGTGTAAGACTTGTTTACTCCAGACTCGCGCAGATCATCGATGATCCTTGGTTTCCCGGACTGGATGATGACAAAACGGCGGCTGACTACGACCTGGTCCGATCCAACATGTGCTTTGAGGTCATGCATGGATTCAAAAGGGCCTTCCAAAAACCCAGACTCCACCTCCTGCAAAGTGGTGTCCCAAAGAAGGCGGGACATCTCAGGATCATCTGCATGCACGTTCCTGGCCTCCATTTTTGGCCTCTGCCACTTAGCTGACATCTGCAGAAACTGTGGGGTTGTCGTAGCTGGCACAAGCTTGGTATCGAAGAAGGGCGACTTCGATGCCGTTCCAACTAGGTCTAGTCCTGACATAATGTCGCTTGGTCCCAGGTCAGGACACCCAGACTCTGCCAACAACTTTCGGAAGAGTAACAGCTTTTTACCCTTTAGCACTTTTTGGGCATGCAGTGGAAGGGTTGCAAGGTATCTGGCTTCCTCTGTCACCAGTTCTTTTGACCAGCGGGCTAGCTTCTTTGCAAAGTCTAGGCGCTGCACTGCAACATGGCTTTTACCCTTTGTGAGCAGTTCAAAAAGGTTAGACCTGGTCAAATCTTCAACTGCAAACTTGTCATCAAACGGATGCGTTAATGAAATGGCCCTTTCAATAAACTGCTCCGGCGTATGGTAAATGCCATACTTGCTTCCCTCTTTTTCCAGGCTTTCCTCCCCGCAGTTACCCCCTGAAGATTGTGGAGGAAGGAGCTTAAATTCATCACGTGGATGAGGTGTTTGATTTGTTATGCAGCGGTATTCCGGGATTAAGGTTCGTTGGTGTTTATTTTGAGTGTGGCCGATAGTGGGTTTTTTCGGGGGTGAGAGGTCAAAACACTTAGAAAATTTTGCATGAAGTGCCTGGCAAAGACGGATGCACAGTAACCATGGGTACTCACTTTCGGCCGCGGTGTCAAAGGTCCAGGTGCCAAAGGACTTGGTAACCTGGTAGGGCTTATGCTCGTGGTCTCCTGGGCAAGGCTTGGCCAGATGATTGTAAACATCATGGGTGCTTCTCCAAGTGGTTTGTTTTGGACGTTCGCCACCATGTGCACAGTTACTAAACTGCACTGCAAACATGTTTGTCCAGGCCTGCAGGAAACGCTGATCATTGAGTTGTTGGACATATACAAAAAGGACATTCCACATCCAAGAGTTGCTAGGGTTCTCCAAGCTGAAAACACATGACAAAGTGACGGCCAGGACAAACAGGTCAATGGCAAATTTTGCAAGTTTGTTGGCACTTTCAACCCTTTGTTTTTCGTGGTATGTCAGCCCTGGCATACCAAGAGGATGGGAAGCATTTCGCACTGGCCTAGGCTGTGGTGCCCCCTTTGCTACTAGGTGAGCGGGTACGGGACGCTCTCTGGCTCTACTCCCTGTACCGCATGGCAACGCTACATGGATAGCTTGTGGCTTCAACTGTCGCAGGGTATCAAGGAGACACTGTTGTTCCTCTGTACGCACCAAATCTAAGGTCAAAACTGGGCATTCAACTTTGTGTTCATTTCTAGGTCCATCAACCGGCAAAACTGCAAAACCTGACTGTTTGGCTGCACGGCTTAGCCGTCCACATCCTGCAAAAACTTCACAAAAAAGCGCCCTTTTGGAGCTTGATTCGTCTGGAAAAATTGGTAACGTGTCATGCATTGGAGTTGGAGTCTTATGCACTGTCTTGGCTCGCTTCTCTGGTGGCGGCTCCAAATTATCCCCAAAGTGGGGTGCTATTTGTCACGAATGGTCACATGTGGAAAAAGGCTTCGGCTTGAAGCACTGCCAGCACACATGGAAACCTCTCTTGCACCTTTTTCCCGGCTTAGCAAAGTCACAGGTCCCTCTATTGAAGGTATTGCAAATTGGCTTTCCCTGCGGTGTCATTTGATGACAATTTGGCGGCAAGGGCTGTGCTCCAACATTGTAAGAGGGCTTGTTGTAATCCTTTCTGACTTTGCCATTTCCTTTGCCCTTCCCCTTTGGCTTTGGGGATGGGGCATCGTCTGCATTGGGTCTTGATGCTCCTTTGACCATGGGAATGAGGCAAAACTGTACTTCTGCATTGTTCGTGCATGTCTCAAAATGGGTCTCCATTGGTTTGGACCCACCTGGCTGTTGTGCTAAGGCTCCTCGGGTTTTCTCAGCGAGCTTCCTGAAAAGCATCTTGTCAGCTTCTTTCAACTGGTGCATTGTGACTGGCATTGCATTTGGAGCTGGTTCTTTTTGCAGAACTTCAAAAATGCGCTCATGCCAAGCTTCCATGGTGGTGTAGGCACACAGCTGGGCAAGGTCGAATGCCCGGGCTCTACGGTTTAGAGCCTGTCTGACTCTCATTTCACCTGTCACATTTGCGCCAGGGCTCTGCGTCTTTGCCGCGACTTTCACTGACCCTTGGCTATCTAAAGAAAATTTTAGATCCTTTTGGCTATGATTGAGATCCAAAACATTAGCTAAAAAATTGTTTTATTGATTATTTTCTTTTATGATTGTTTTATGAATATTTATGATTTTTAGGATATGATTTGAAAAAATGGTGAAAAATGGATATGATTTTTTATGTTTTATTTTAAAAAATTTTTATGTATTTTTTATTTTTTTATGATTGTTTTATGATTTTGTTTATGATTTTTTAATGATTTTTTTTTGTTTTCCCACTTGTTTTTATGTTTTTTAATGATTTTTTTTAATGATTCTTTGAAAATGATTTTTTTAATGAAATTTTATGATATTTTTATGAAAATTTATGATTTTATTATGATATTTTTATGAAAATTTGTGACCTATCCTAAGGCTAGTTTCTTTTCTCGGTATTCACTTCTTTAATGCCAGCTGCCCGCTAAGTCACAAAGGTCTCAAGCCTGAGGCCTAAAGCCTAGGGCCTCAAGCCTGGAACTTAAGGCCCCAGATCCGAGATTCTAGAGCCTCAAGCCTGAGCCTAAGGCCTCAGGTCCGAGATTCTAGAGCCTCAAGCCTGGAGCCTAAGGCGTCAGGTCCGAGGTTCTCTAAGGCCTCAGGTCCGAGATTCTAGAGCCTCAAGCCTGGAACTTAAGGCCTCAGGTCCGAGATTTTAGAGCCTCGAGCCTGGAGCCTAAGGCCTCAGGTCGGAGATTCTAGAGCCTCGAGCCTGGAGCCTAAGGCCTCAGGTCGGAGATTCTAGAGCCTCAAGCCTGGAGCCTAAGGCGTCAGGTCCGAGATTCTCTAAGGCGTCAGGTCCGAGATTCTAAAGCCTCAAGCCTGGAACTTAAGGCCTCAGGTCCGAGATTCTAGAGCCTCGAGCCTGGAGCCTAAGGCCTCAGGTCGGAGATTCTAGAGCCTCGAGCCTGGAGCCTAAGGCCTCAGGTCGGAGATTCTAGAGCCTCAAGCCTGGAGCCTGGGACGTTGCTTTCCTGAACCAATCCATAAAAAAATTATAAAAAAAAACATAAAGAATCATTTTAAAAAATCATAAAAAAATCATAAAAAAAATAAAAATCATAAAAAAAAATCATAAAAATCACACAAATCATAAAATTGATCATAAAAAAACATATGTATTTAGTGTTATGATTTTTTTATGATTTTTTATGTTTTTTTTTAATGTTTTAATGATTTTTTTATGTTTTTTTTATGATTTTTTATGATTTTTTTAATGATTTTTTTATGAATTTTTATGACCCCTTAAACGCCCATCTACAGGGTGTCACCCTGCCCCCGGAGCTCCTTAGAGTTTAGGGTTTTGGGTTTAGGGTTTTGGATCCTTGCTGCTGGCCTGAAATCTTGGAACCCTAAAGGTAGTGAAGGTAGTGAAGTGTTTCAATACTGACTTTCCCTGTTTGGCCTAAACATGTTTCCTTCCCAGGTTTTTCATCACACAGCATAGGTTTAGTCAGTTGCCTCCTTACAGCAAATAGTTGCTCAACAAATTTTGTCATAGCAAAAAAAAATCAAGTTTACTGCTGCTAACTAGCTGTTAGTTGCTAGCTGCCAGTTGTTGCTTGTTGCTAGCTAGCTGCTTGCTAGCTAAGCTACTCGCAGCTAGTCACTGGTTGTCGTTAGTTGCTAGTTGCTAGTTATTTGTTGCTAGCAATTGGATGCAAGTTACTTGCTGGCCACTAGCCCCGGAAAAAATTGTGACACTGTTCGTTGACCAACTAGCCCCAACATTGGCATCGCCCTGCCCCCCCCCCCCACACACACACACACCACATAATTTGTTTTTTTGTTCGTAAGTCATCACTGACACCTCACTGCCTGCCATCATGCAGCAATTGGTGCAGTTTGAGATATCTGCAAAATTTGCTGTTCAATTCGTTTTTCGCTCACCAGTGGTCAAAAAACCACCAATCCTAAAGCCAACGCCAAAATAAATTTATTTTCAAAAAAAATCATTTTCATAAAATTTCATAAAAAAACATTTTCAAAAAATCAAAAAAACATAAAAAAAAAATCATTAAAAAATCATTAAAAAAATCATAAAAAAATATTTTAAAAAAAACGAAAAAAAATCATAAAAAAAAAGAAAAAAATCATAAAAAATCATAAACTGTTTTCAGGCAAAAAAACAAATCATAAATTTCATCATAAAAAATTATATTTTTTCATTAAAAAAATCATAGTTTTTTATAAAAGAAATTAATTTTAAAAACCGATTTTTTAGCTTACTCCAGGATCTCAAGGCTATGAGTGACCTCGCTGCTTCTGCTGGTGAGCTTTTCCCATGGCGTCCATTCCAGGGTCTGGTCAGTGGCCATTTGGCAAACTGTGTCCACCAATTTGTGACTGGGCTCAGTCTCTGGGCTAAAATGCAAGCCTGGCAGTCTTTTCTTCTGATCTTCCAGTCTGGCATTCCGTTCTGCTACGGGCATTTTGGTTGGCTCGGCAGTTTCATCCCTTTCGGAACGTTGCTTGAACTCGTTCACTGCTAATGTGGAAGACTCGAAAAACAGCCTCCTCAAAGCAATGGTCTCTGCATTCGTTGGTGCGCGCCCCATAGTGTCTGTCAGGGCTGTGATCAGCGGGGCCTCATCTGCTTGACCTGGCTGATAGCTCGTAATGAAGGCATATGCTCCAAAGCTTCTCACTCCACCATTTTTCAGCCTGTCTATAGCGTCCTCTGGCAATCCAATCTCAGTGGCCCTCGCCCTGAAAGCTGCCTCGGACTCCAGACCCGTGGACATGGGTACTAGTATTTGCAAGATAAAAAAGTGAAAAGTTCCTCTGCTATCCAAACGTTTCTCATGATGTGGTTTGGTGAAGGTCTCACCTTTAAACCTTTCCCAGCATTAGGTGGTTGAAGATTTTGGTAAATAAACTTAGTCGTGTCGTGGTTTCCTGCGTGATGGTCCACACTATTTGTGCTGCTTGTTTGCTTGAGCCTGGCATGCATACACTCCAAAAGTCGGCGTGGTGATGATTCCAGCTGCCAGGATTATGGATTCCTGGTTTCGCCTGATGGAGTCATGCCAAACTTGAATGCTGGTTTTTTCCAAATTGCAAACATGCCGAACTCTCATTGATTGACATCGCGATGGACTCAGAAACGCATTTTTAAACTCTGGATGCCACGCACTTTTGAGGGGAAGGCGTCAGTTATCTGAGCTTGACAATCCATCTGAAGAATTCTCCACGCGTTGAGCCATCACTTGAACCGGCGGTGTGGGTACAGTCCAGCTAGACAATTGGACTGGCAACATCAGTCTGCTTTCGGTCACTGCCAGGGCCAACTCCGTCCGATCCACGTAAACTGCAATGCAACACATTGCAAAGAGAAAAAACTGTTTCCAGTCCAGAAGTTGCATAATTCCAGAACTCATACCTAAAAGGCTCCAGATCATCTGCAGGAAAACAGAGCTTCTGAAACTCCCAGTGAATCTGGCTAAACTGCAAATCAGCTTGACCTGGGCAACAATCTCTCACAGGAGGAGCCACGCACAGCCGCTAGTCCAACCAACGGTAAGAGCCGTACCCAGGTTGTACCACTTGAATCCCTTCGCTACCCTCTCAGCTTTCCAAGCTCCAACAACAGTCTTGCCCCTCCTTCGAGGGTTTGCCATCCCCGGTTGGTTGACGTGAAAGAAAACCGAAAGAGAACTTCATGCACACATGGCTGCCTGTGTGACAAAATTGGTTGTGATGAAAATGTTTGGATGGTGAATAGGCTTGTTGCAAAATCGAATATATCAACCACGAGGGTTGACAGGCCCATTTGCGGCATTTACCAGCATGGGGCTAGAAAAAGAAATTTCTAAACCCTCCTACCCGCCCAGCCAGAGCTGCACGGGATGAAATAAAAACAAGCCCAAGAATAACAAATTCAAACATGCGTGTGTTTGAGCAGATCTCTTGGAAAGCACATGATTTCCTAATGTTAGGGTATTGGCATCATGTGTATGTTAAAAATAGATTCCAGAATAAAGATAAAATGTCAACAGTGACCGGAGGAGATATTCTGGTAAACACGTTTGACAATAGACAGATTTCTCAGTATGATTGAGAGAATACCGAACAGGTGAAACAAGTGTTCATCAGAAAGGTTTCGACAGTTTGTTCGTTGACACTAAGGGAGAAAGTCAGTGTGGGGTTCTGTTTTACGCTTCCGTGCCTGAGGTGGCACTTTGAAAACTAGTAAAGACAGTTTTATCCCTTTCAGGGAGATGCACCATCTTTGCAGCTTTGTCATCCATTGGAAAAACACGTTCACACAGCTCGGTGATCTCCCAACCACGATTGTCATTGTATGCAACTGTAGTTCTATATGGATATTCAGTGACAAGCAACCGTTGTGAAGTGTCAACAAAATGAGAACCACCTGAAACACACATTGGAAATTCAGATTCTCCTTCCATTGTATACCATCCATTGCGCAAACGTTGCCAACTTCTGGGAATGTCAACTGAAATAACACGTACAGCAGCATCTTCAACCATGCGCACTTCTCCATGAACTGTCACTGAATGGTTTCTGAAGCTGATTGGAATCTTGGCCCCACACTCATGTCCAAGAACTGGTCCACTGCCGTTGTCACCAGCTACAATGCTCCATCCATGTCTCAAGAGTTTTCCAAATGATAGCAAAGGTTGTTCAACCTTACTACTCACATGACCTCGATCTCTGAAAGTAATGCAACGTCCATCCACTGAATGCAAAACCACATTGATATCTCTGACGCTCGAAACATCGATTTGTGAACCCTGTGCATCTCTGAGAAATGAAGATTGGGAAACTGAAGGTTTTCCAGCACCTGCCATTGACATTGGAATCACAGTGGCATCTGACCCACTGTCCAAAACGATCTCACAGCCTTCTGAAACTGCACAAACGTTGAACTGCAGGTTGCATGAATCTCCAAAACAATCAAAAATCTCATTTCCAAAAGGGTTGTCAAGAGATTTGGTTTGGTTTGGACGTTTTGCATTCAAAGGTTTGAAATAACTGCTGTCTCCAAAACGTTTCATTGCTGTCTTGTTCACTGCCTCAAACGCTGTCTCGTAAAGCTCCAGACCATGTGCCCTGCTGACAACTTCTGCAAAATGATCCATGTCATCCAGCTGAAACAAATTGCACAACTCAAACGACGCACAAGAATCACTGTTGGGTTCTGCATGCAAAAACTCCTGAATGAGGTCCTTCGAGTCACTGACAATCCAGGGTTGTTCATTGCAAACATCGTTCAAATGAAGTCCAAATGAAGTTGCAGCACATGACAAATCATCTGAAATTGCATGAAAACGCTCTGAAACATCTGGCAGTCCACTCAAATGCAAACTCTCTGACATCGTTGCAGATGAAATCTCACCATCTGAAACTGCACTTGATTGCAACTCTTCTGAAACCATGGCAACACGCAAGTTGGAAAAGTCATCAAAACCTGTAACATCGAAAACAAGGTTGACATCATGAGAAACTGGCATGTCAAAAGCAACACGATTCACTCAATTTGTTTGCTGGTTTGAAGAGCTAGACTGTGGTTGATATGAAGTGCTGTTGTATGAAGTAGCACTGGCAGCTGAACGATTTGCATCCTCACTCTGCTGTTGTTCGTTGACGGCTCTCACCTTGCAGTCTCGCGCAAAATGCCCTGTAGAACCACAATTGAAACACGCAGCTTTGCCTTTTCCTTTGGAAGAAGCTTTGCCACCCTTTGCATCACTCTTTCCAGACTGTTTACCTTTGTTCCAGCCCTTGTTCCAAGAGTTTTGATTTGCGGTCCACTGCATAGATTTCCCTTTGCCATCTGTCGATTTACCCTTTCCAGACTGATAGGCATCTTTGCCTTTCCCTTTTGAGTCTCCTTTTCCTTTTCCTTTCCAAGAGCTCTGTTTGCCCTTGCCTTTGCCCTTCTTACCTTTACCTCCATCAACACGATCAACATCCATTGCAACTGCATCTTCTTGTCCAGGAACTGTGTTTCCAAGAGCCATTGCACTAGACCAACGAATTGTGGCCTGATCATAGTTGATTATGGATTCACGCAGTTGTTCATATGTTGTATCCTCACGCAAAGTAAGCTGTAAATGGGTCTTCAGATGACCCCCAATGACCTTCATGAGAATCGAAAATTTGAGCTCCTTCTGCAACTCACCTCCACTGATGCGCTCATACTCCTTTATGGAATCTTCCAGCTTGAGGATCTGCGGCAACATAGCTACCTTCTGATCAAAAATTGGCCATGACATCAAAAGTTGTAAAAGACCAAGGGACCTGTTTCTGTTCGATGGCTGACAGTTCCTAATAAGCAAACGAAGGCTTTCAAATCCATTCCCTTGCTCAACGCTCTTCAGCATCATCAAAGGGCGTCCTTTCAGCAAAGACGCAAGCAAACCATACAGAAAAGTTGATCTCTGGGCATTTTCTGCAGACATCTCCAAAACCAAGTCGTATTTCGTGTCCAAATTGCCACGAACACTCTCCAGTTCCGGTCCAAACTGAACATCAACTGCTAAAAGGTATTGCTCAAGTTGCCAAACCCATTCACGAAACATTGACAACTCTTCTTCGCAACTCTGAGGCGAAAAAGTTGGAGGTTTGGGCAACATCTTGTACCATTCCGTAGGCTTTGCAGCTGGAGGGCTTGACGAACCTGTTGTAGCCGTAGCGGCTGCTACTGCACTCGCTGCTTGTGCAGCGTCCGCTGCTCGTTCTGCAGCTTCAACCATCCGCATTGCTAACTGAGCTCCATCTATTGCACCAGCAGCTACAGTCGGCGATCCGCTCGCCGCAGGACTTGCAACGACATCCGTGATTTTTTTTTCCTCGAGTGTGGCCGATGTCGCGCTAAAGGCCCGGTCCTTACATGAGCATAAGCTGTAAGAAAGACATTTGTACAAGGACATATCGTGTCCATTTGAGCAGGCAAATCGATTAAAACAAAACACAAAACCAAAGAAACCAACCAAACACGACGACCCGCAAATCCCCCAGCCAGACTTGCGTTTCGCCAGCGGAAACAGCGAAGCAAACGGCAAAAAAAACAAACACTACAAAAAACGGGGCCAGAGCCCAAACAGAACACCCACAAAATCGATTTGCCAGGGGACGCAGTGGTTTGTCCACTGCATCACTCTCAAAAACGTGCCAATGAATTAAGAATCACGGCATTCGGGCAAACATGAAGGCTTGAGCTTGTATGTTCACTCAGGCATGTGCCAAGCTGTACAAAAAAGCAGGGCTACAACTTATGCCTCTCTCAGCGTCCTCTCAGATCAGCTTGTCAGAGGGCCTCCATGGACAGAGTAGTCACCATATCTGTCAAACTAACCACGAAGCCGTGATGGTGAAAGAGCCAGATCTCCGGGGGGGCGGACAGTGATGGCATACGGGAAGCAACGCAGGCCAGGGAAAAACTTCCAAAATACCATCGCAGATATCCAGCATGCCCCTAGTTTCATAGGGGAAGATGCAACCATCAGATTGATTGGTCTCAGCCAGCGAAGCTCCTAGGCAATACTCGCAAAGCTGAGAGACATGCAAAAAACATTGTCGTTGTGCAGGTAGGATGAATCCAAATGGCGATGACCCACACTCGGACAACAAAACGGCGCCGAGAGGCATCGAAAGGTAGCAAGGTTGTATTCGCAAGTTCCACCATACCAGTGCTGTTTTCGGCAGCGTAGCTCTCTTTGGTGTAGGTTCGCGAAACACACAAACTACAGAACTGTTCAGGACATTTCAGGATGTCATCGTCCCTGAAAGACCTGCAGTGCATTGCAGTATGCACAGAAGAAGATTGTAGCGAAACCAAGTCCGTAATGCCACTCACCCACAGAATAGGCAGGCTGCAGAATCACCACAATCCATCCACCAACTGACGAACCATGTGGGCAGTCTTATGCTGCTCGCGGGCGCCCCAAGCTGTCCTACAGGGAGCACCACTGGAATGCACCAGTGAAGCTCACTGCAGCACAGTCTGGTCCATGGCATCGGCCGGCTACCTACCGCCCCTCTCGGACAGATGCAGCCACCCATGTAGAGTACCCAGACAGAGGACATACCAAAGAGACTCAGAAAAAACAAACGAATTCAAAACCAATTAAGCAGAAGGCCCCTTAAAGGAGGAAAGGTCAAGTCAGCAAGAAGGGCAAAGCAAAAAGACGGGCCCTAGGGGCACCAAACTAATTGGCCGTCCTGAGTAACCTTAGTGGGTCACAAGAATGCTGTGTCAGCGCCTCTCAAATCAATAACCTGAGTCAGCAAACTTAATCAAACCGGTCAACAATACTCGCTCAATCCACTCTAAGCTCCAGTCGCTTCGCACCTAAGTGAGGGCAGGGGAGGGTAGCACAAGCAGAGGAGGGCACCCTAGTCCCAACCCACCGCAAAACAACAGAAGACGACCAAACAAATGCAAACCAAGCAGACAGGCCAAACAACAAACAACCAGGAGGGGGGGTGCCGGGATGGCAGAGGAGGACAGGGGCGGAGAAGGCTGCACCAATCGCATTAGAATAGCAATAGGGCAGCTTAGCGGAGACCAATGTGGGGCCTGGATCATCATCCTGACGAATACCTCAGTGTGGTCAAACTGAGCTCCCTGACATCACCTGCAACATGGTGGAGAGGGTGAAACACCCCACACAGGGCTTAATAGCCTTTGCTGCCATGAGACAATTGACGGAAGGACGACAAAGCACAACCACACTCCCAGCACGAAAGCAGGGCAACTGAGCCGTCACAGCTGCAACCAGATACCCAGAGGGAGGCACCAGCGTGAAAACTGGGCCAGGGCACCACACGGGACCGACCGCGGGGGGAGGGGAGGCAACAGCAGACGGAAAGAGGAGCCAACAAGAGCCAAACACAAAAGCAAAGAAAGCGGGGCCCTCCCAAATCCAGGGAGGAACACAAAAGAAGCAGAGAAACCAATGAGACGCACCGACAGAAGCATCAAATAGGGAGACCAAGAGCCCAATAGGGCGACGCCCCAAGGGGAACGCAAAACCACAAAAGGGACAGAGGGCGGCACATGACATGGGGAAAGGAGTGCTCTTGACCTTAGTAAAAGATGTAATGCAGGTAATTCTGGATCTTAGTTGCGCAGTGGAGAAGTGGCGTGCACACGAAATTGAAAAACTGGACCTTAGTAGTGCAGAGAAGTGCGAGTGCACCTGTCACGTCTATGGACAGACACACAAGTACAAACAACAATTGCAAACCACAAAAACCATTCAATGAGGAGGATGAAACACGAGTGCACCTGTCACGTCTATGGACAGATTCACAAGTTTGGAATCAAAAACCTAATAAACCGCGCAAGAAAGGGACATGCAAGACGCAGAGGAGCCATAAGATAGGTCCCTACCGGAGCAAAAGGGGCCCCAGCCAACCGCAGCCAGGAGGGGCCAAAAGAGAAAAAGGCATCAAACAGCACAAAACGAAGCAATGAAAAAGAGCGACCCGAAAAACCAGGGGGGGAGAAGGAAGAAGAGAATCTATGTTTGACTCCGTGTAGTGTATTCAAGGTGGTGTTGCTTGTCTGCTCTGAGAGTGTCATTCCAGCTGTTCCCGATCGCAAAGGAGACAGGGTTCGCCCTTTCTGCCCCTGCGGCCAGGAGCCGTAACTCATTGCATTTAGTCTGAAAAGCAACCAGGTCAGTATCTGGTGCTCTCCTGCGTAGTTTCCTATCAGGGAAGGTCCGCTCTCGCACGTGCTGCTGCAGAATCGTTTCTGGTAAGTAGTGGGCTGGTCGTTGGAACAGCACCCTGCTTGCTAACTTCCCGCGGTTGACTTCCCAATGAGTGAACATATGGCGATGTTGTACTTGCTGCTTGAGTTGTGCAGCATACTGGTGGAAACTTTTGGGCGTGTGCCACAACCTCAGGAGGCTATAATTGGACGGCCACTCAAGTGGACACAGAGTGGCTGTCTGCTTCCACATTGCAGGAGTAAGTCCTTTGGGGGATGGTACAATTACTTCCAGGTTGACTCTCGTGGGTCCAGTGGGTTGCAGGCCCATCATGATGTAGGGTTCTACTACACCCATTGTGTACCCTCGTACGAGTTCCGCAAAGCAATCGGCTGCTTGGAATTCCTCGTCCAAAGCCAGACTCAATCCAGGAGCGTTTTTGTCAGTGAACTTAGCCGCCTGCAGTACTTGGTCAACCGCCTCTCTCTGCAGCCCCTCAAAAACTCGATGGGGACAAGAAAAGGAAACCTCTTGCGGGGCTTGGATGGCACCTCCTTCTTCCCCTAAAAAACACGGCGCAATCTTGCTGGCCCAGCTAGCCGGAAACCACGCCAGTAAGGCCGAAATCCCGCTGACCAGGTCGACCCCGGTGTGACGCCGAGAATGGGGCTGGTTTGTGATGACAACTTTCACAGGGCCACTGGGGGCACGTT